GCCACAGGGCCTGTTTCTGGGGCCACTGGCCCACTGCCGCTGCCCACGCTGGCTGCTCGAAGGGCTGCCAAGGGAATGCTCCTGGGCGCCCGAAGGGCAGTGTCCTGACTGCTCAACGCATTTCTGTGCAAATGCTTACTGAGCATCTCTTAAATGCCAGGCCTACAGATAGGGGACAGATTAAGACCAAAAAAATGCAGTGCGGCAGAATGCAGCTTTCTTTTCTTCTAGGCAGACAAATCTGGGTTCACATCCCAGCTCTGCCTGCTACTTAGATAAGTCACCACAGCAAATTACTTAATAGCCTGAACCTCAGTTTGCTCACCTGCTAAATGGGAGCGATAACTATGCTGCTGACAACCCAATCAACAGAGACAGCCCACATCACCACACGTGTTCACTCTTGATCACTGATCTGCTAAACTTTCCTGGAACCCCTTCGCCTCCCATCCAAGAGAACCAGAGATGTTTTCCCAAGGCTCATCTGGGACAAACAGCTAAACCCGCAACCCTCATTTCCCCTGTATGCGCAGAAGCTACACATCATTAACTTAGATTTGTCACCCTCATTGCTTCCCTGCCCCTCCTTTTGCAGTTACTTACTTTGGAAACCAGCCCCAGATTTAATGCACCTCAGATGAGTTATGCGACCGGCCGCGAGGATGATGACGGAAGCATCAATTTCCTCATGAAAGCCCAAGAGCACAGGCAATCCAAACAGGCCCGCGGCCAGCGCGGTGCGCTGAGGACGGCCGCTCATCAGGCCTGCGTTTGGCTTGGCAGCGGGTGCTGCTCACAGCAAGCCCAGACCCTGGCCGTGGGCTGACAGCTCTGATTTAAACTATTAGGAAGGCTGAGGATTAAATATTTGTCCAGGTCACTGTAAACCGGGTGGAATTATAAACAGTTCGGAGCGGTAAGTGATGCAGGAAACAGTTTCCGGATACGGGTTTAGGACTTTCCACCACTCCCCAGGTGGCAAGGTGTCGGGGAGGACGGCTGCGAGGGAGCCAGCTGCCTGGGGTCCGGCGGCCCCTCCCTGGTCAGTGGTTCCTGGAAGACGAGGGCCCATTTCCATGCAAAAGGATGGTCTCTGCCCAGTGAGCACTAGCCTCTGGGACGGTGTGGGGACAGCCCTGCCCAGAGGCCAGAGAAGGGGACCCCCGAGATCCCCTACGGCTCCAGGCCCCATGACACGGCAGAGGTGGTGCAGGTTCTGCACGGAGAGTGTGAGGCTCCGACACGCGGCCCGGGCACCTGCCTTGCACTTCTACTGTTCAAGTGCACGGAGATGCTTCTGTGACTGCACTTAAAAGAGCTACTAAATTTATCCTTCCTGCCACATTTTAAAAAATTAATGGTTATGAAAAGCATAATTATTATCTTACTGAAAAAGCCATTTTGATATTAAAAGGAACCCTCATGAAGTCCGGCACTCCCAGGATGAAGATGGCAACGGTCACCTCTGCCAAGGAAGGCTCCCTCCTGAGGCCCTTCTGAGGGATGCTGCACTGCAGCCAGCACCGGCTTCTCTGAGGCCAAGTCTCACAGGAGACTCAGGCCAAGCTACCTGTCTGTGCTTCCTCTTCCTGTCACACGAAGGCACCACTGCCCTGCACCAGCACAGGGTTAAGGCCTTCCCTTGGGGTGGGGCTGTTAAAAGTCCTAAACAGGACTCTTAAACGAGGGTCTTCAACCTGCTCAGAAGCTTCAAGTAGCACGTGAAGCAGAAGTGAAGACAAGTCTGCTCCAGGGGAGGCGGCACCTTCCAGTCCAAGCTCCCAGCTCACCTCACACACCTGGAAGGGACACCTTGAAGATGGGCTGCTCATGACCCCTAAGCCAAAGATGGGCAAGAGGAAGGTACACAGCAGCTGTGATACTGTGATTTATAAGAAATACACAGTTTGGTCATTCGGATGACCAAAATACATTTCTCACGTACATCTGCTCTTTATCCATGGTTCCGGGCTCACAGCTCCCAAACCCTTGGAATTTCCTGGGCGATAAGAGCAATGGGAGCATCTTTTGTTACATTTGGTCTCTTGTGCTCAGCTCCCGAAATCAGTCGCTTCAGGGCCTTCAAGGTGAAACGTGTGCCTTGTCGCGCGTAACAAGCCCCTTTCCACCACAACTGGGTTTACGTGAATGAGGTGACTTTTGGAAAGTACCTAAGCATGGGGGCTGGTTGCCAGGGGAACCAACCATAAATAGAGGGGTGGAACTTTTAGTCCTATCTCTATTTCCAGGCAGGGGAGAAGGGCTGGAGGTTGAATCAATCACCAACTGCCAGTGAGTTAATCATCACGCCCATGTAATGAAGTCTCCACAAGACCCCACGGAAGACGGGAATCAGCTTCCAGGCTGGGGAACCAAAATGCTTCCAGGGCCCCAAAACCCCGTGAGAACGAAGCTCCTTTGTTTGAGACCTCGCCCCATGGACCTCTTCATCTGGCTGTTGATTCGTAACCTTTAAATATCCCTTGGAATAAATCGGCAATCTAATGAGGAAATGGGTTTCCTGAGTTCTGTGAGCAGCTCTAGCAAATTAATCGAACCCAAGTAGGGGGTCATGGGAACCTCTGATTTGTAGCCAGTAGGTCAGAAGCACAGGGGACAACCTGGACTTGCCACTAGCGTTGGAAGGTGTGTCTCAGGGGAGGGAGGAGGGCAGGCAGTCTTGTGGGACTGAGCCCTGAACCTGTGGGATCTGATGCTATCTCCGGGTAGAGTGTCAGGCTCGTAGGTGAATTGTAGGACACCCTGCTGGTGTCTGGAGTACTGCTTGCTGGTGGCGTGGGGAGCCGCCCCCCAAGATGGAATTAGGTACAAAACCCCAAAGAGTAGCACTCGTCAAGTTTTAATGTGCACATAAATTACCTGGAGAATTTTGTGAACTTTAGATCCTGATTTGGTGGGTCTGGGTAGGGCCCCAAGCTCTCTGCATTTCTGACAAGCTCTTCCGCGGTGCTGACACTGGTCCCTCCTGGACTAGACTGTGGGCAGGAAGGTTGCCTCCAGCTGCAGAGCAGAGGCTCTCAAGAGAGCCCTCCTGCCTGGCCGGGCCGTTCAGGACCAGAGAGGTGGGAAACAGAGCAAAGCAACGCTTCTTGCCACATCAAAGGAGCCTGAAGTGCAGAGACACACTGAGCCCTGAGGGCGAGGAGAGAGAAGCCATGGCCAAACCTGCAGTCACCTGGTCCTAGCAGGGCAGGGAGCCGGCTGGGAAATGGCAGGCGGTGTTCAACCACAGGTGGCTCAAATGGCATCTATCTGGAAATGTGAAGCCCTGCTTAGGCGGTGAATCAGAGCTGGACAAGCTTACCCGGAAGACCAGTGCCCTAGAAAGACGATTATCAGACTGATGTCTCCCCGCTATGGAAGTCTTTGGTAGCCAGGCTGGAGGGCTCCAAACTTGGCCTTGAACTAATACGAAGACAGAGTCATCTTAGTTAATGTGCAAGGAAGAAAGCCGGAAGGAACAGCTAACACCTGGATGACCAAAACCGAGATTCGACATTATCTGTCCCTGGCAGAATGGACAAAAACCAAAACGTGAGTTCACATGTAAAACCTCATTTTAAGAAAGATCGACTGCACAAGAACAGAAGGGGAAATCCCTGGACCGTCAACAGCTCGTGGGAAAAGAGGTGGGGTGGGGAGCCAGTGGGGGGCCGTGTAGCCAACTGCACGCCTGTGAGGTGCCTGCAGAGCAGCGCGCGGCCCATGCTGGATGCCTCTTTTTATGGAGACTGATGTAAAAGGAACGGGCTATCCTCCAAGGCAGCGAGCTCCCTGGTCCCACCCGAGCAGAGCGGCACAAACTGTCCTGTCAGGTTGGGAGATGACCTCTGAACTCTTCCCACGTCAAGACCCTGTGACTCAAGCAGTCTTTGGACTGCTTTGACCAGACATACCCATTTTTTCTGTATGAGGTGAACGAATATTCTGAGTTTTGAAAAGTGCCCTGCTGGGGTGCATAGTAGAGGATGCCAGTGACTATCATTCCGTTGCACCCCTGCATCACTGGAGCACTGCTGCAGGGGCCAGAGCTGAGCAGAGAGCAGGTGTGTACCACAGGGCACCTGCCTGGGGAGGCCGGTAAACCCGCTCGGAGGCTTAACAGGCTCTCCCTCTTCTGGATCCCTGTAGCTTCTCTTTCAGTCCTTTCTCTCCTTTTGGGGACCCTGGCTACTATCCCCCAGCAGCCTGCTGCCAAGCCCCTAGGCTGACCCCCTGGCTGCCGTCACTCCTCACTGCTCACCCCCATCCACAGATCACGGCCATCCGTTCTCGCTGCAGAAAGCACCTCTCCATTGTCCAGTGGCTGCTGGCTGCCCACACCCAGCCCTCTCTCGACTGTGAGAAAGCTGCTTGATTTCACTCTAGGAAATCAACACCCACACCCCTGTTCGTCTCCTCGACCATGGGTAGTCACATGACCCTAGTGTCAGGAAGTGATTCTGTCCGGGACAAGTAACCTGACCCGCCAGTGAGACGTTCCTGGGGTTACACGGCAGACCTGCTCTGCGAGAGAGGCTCTCCCCCAGGATGGCCAGAGGCTGCCAGGAGCCCCCGCATGGAGATCCGGAGTCCTGCCCACATCATTCGTGTCTTAGACCCAGGCGGGCTGAACGATGTCGGAACGTCACAATTAGGTGAGCTGACTCATTTCCATTTTCGCTTAAGTCAGTGAGAGTTTTACTTCCGTCACCTACAACCAAGAGCCCTAATACATCATCTAAGCCACAACTGAGAAAGTAATCCATTCTAAAATGTTACCAGCGGTAATGCCCTAAACATCACGGGAGCATCTTAACATAAACACCTTGATCCCAAGTAAAACCTCCCGTGACTGAATGTCGGGAAACACGGACAGGCCTGTGGGGAGATCACGTCAGGCGCAGGGGCTGCCCCAGGACCCTCTGTGGGGCAGCTGCTCACTCATCTCCATACACGGCCAGCCCTGGGGCTGCAGCCGGGGGCACTGACCACTCTACCTGTCTAGTAAGGCTGCCGCCGAGGTTCATGGTGCCAGAGCCGGATTTGTTGGTCTGCAGCCACAGCATCACCGTGGAGGTCAGCTTGTAATGGGCGGTGCGACCGCTGGACTTCTCCTGTAGGACGAGACAGAGATCAGAGCCTTGGGCACAACCCTGAGCTGAGGACAGCCTGAATGGCCCCTGAATTCAGGTCATTCTAACACGTCACTTCCTAACACGTCACCATGACATGACCTTATAGAATCCCAAATGGTTTTTAAAGGGGCCGAATCTGCGGTCACTGTATCCAAGTTCTTTGGGGATCTTTTTCATCAATGACTACTGCGATCCTGACTTATCTTTATCCACATGGCTGTGGGCACTTTTAGGAATCACAGGGGTTTATACGTCACAACATATTCCCATCAAGAAGCACCTGCTAGGGAACAGGCCGCACCGTTTGGGCTGCCAGCTGCAGGTGGGGGGTAGGGGGGGGAGCTGTACCTGCACCTCCACCACGTGGATGGAGTCCCAGCAGCCTTTGATCTTCTTTGATCCATCTCCAGCCTTCTTTATGAGGATCACTCCAGCAAAACCATGATCCAGATCCCAGAGGTAGACAGATGAGACGCCGCCTTCAAAATACCTGCAGGAAACAGGCCCACATGTCCATGAGATGTTAAGCCCGTCAAATTACAGATCACCCCAGGTCCCAGGGGTGGTCATTTGGCAAAGATTCATCTAAATGTCTCTCTGGGATTAACGACCCTCCCTACGGTGGTTCCAGGGTTGGTTCTTCCATGTGTCCTGATCATTCGTTGGTCAGGGGAGGGGATGCAGCATCCTTTCCGGTGGGGGGCTCACAGAAAGAACACGCAATTAGGAGTCCAAAAGATGAATCTGAGTCTGAGCTGCCCTTCCTCTAGCTTTGTGGCCTTTGGCAAACTGACCCCACTTCTCTGGGCTTCACATTCCTTCCAGAAGAAGGATCCAGAACGTGTGTGACATGTAACAGGCCCTCAATGGGGGTCATTCCTATTGAGTAATCATTACCGTGTGATACTCCTATCTTTCGGGATGGCTATTTTACAGACGAAAAACAGGAAAAACAGAGCAACAACAGTCCAGACTTGTCCCACTGAGAGCAGACAGAGCTCTGTTCCCCCTGGAACGCTCCAGGGCCTGCACACGCTGGGGCTTCTGTGGGTTTTTCAGAGCAACCTGCTGCAACTGTATAGCCTGAAACGAAGGGCTAAGGTTGGGACCGAGCTTCCTCCGCAAGTCTGAGGCAATACTGAAAAATTCCTAATTCAGATCAAATGCAGGAGGGAAAGAAAAGGCCAGAGGAGCAAAGGAAATCAGGCAAGGATCCCAAATTCAAGGGCACCAAGGCAGCGGCTGTCCATACAGGTCCGAGGAGCTCAGAAAGCAAAGGCGGACCACCAGCTGACATGCAGCACCTCAAATTCTGCTGACGACCAACTACGACTCTGGAACGATGGAGTCTCTGGTGGCTAATAGCACACTCTTTACCAGAAAGTCTGTGGCCTCTCTGACCCCATTTAACCCTGCATCAGTGGTGCAGAAGGTGCACTCCGGGACTCTCCAGGAGGCCCGGGGCCGCGGCCTCGGATGTGAGCAGCAGGCAGGCACCGAGGCGCACGGGCTGGGGAGTCAGGCAGGCACATGTCCCCATGCCCGCCCCGCCAGTCACCAGTTACGTCACACGCTTATCCGCCCGATGACTACTTATCAAGAGCTATCAGCTACCGGCTCTGCGAACTGGGCCTTAGTTTCTTTATAAAGCAGGGACAGTATTGGGACTTCCCTGGCAGTCCAGCTAAGGTTAAGGCTCCACGTTCCCAATGCGGGGGGCCCGGGTTTGATCCCTGGTCAGGGAACTAGATCCCGCATGCCACGACTAAAAGATCCCACACGCCGCAACTCAAGACCCGGCACAGCCAAATAAATAAATAAATATTAAAAAAACCAAACAAACAGGGACGGTATCTACTTTCTAGGACTGTTGAAAGACAAAAACAATACAGGAAAATAGCTACCTGACCAAAGATTATTATTTTCATAACAAAAACAAGTAATAAAAATAAACATGTATATGAATTACACCTCGATAACGCTGTTACATGATAAAAAATATACATGGTAAATGCTAATATTTAGAGAATGTAAGCGATGGGTATTCCAAGAATTCTTTGTACTCTTTTTTGGATAATTTTGCTGTAAATCAAACTCTTTCAAACTAAAAAGTTTTCGTACAAAGGCCAGTATGTGAATATACACCAGAGTGTAACCGAGACAGACGGAAGAGGTAGCCCCTCTTCATGCTGGCGAGCTGCAGGGCCCCGCGGCTGCTTTGTCTCTGGCTCTGACCCACCGCAGGCCCACTGGGCGTGTCGCATGAGGGTCCACACCTAGGTCTGTTCCCCTCACGCCCTCCCCGCCAGCATTCCTCAGGGAGACTGTCCCCACTGCTCCATCCCGCGCTACCCATTGTGATTGAGCTGTCAAGTGAAATTCACAGCTGTCTCCCCTGGCCAGTCGGCCCCAGAAGGCAGGTGACGCAGGAGGCTGTATGAGGTGCCAGCCCCGGGGCTAGATGGTGGTCAAAAGATTGAGGGACTGAGGTTGAGGGACTGAGGGAAAGGAAGGATTGAGGGACTGAGGTTGAGGGACTGAGGGAAAGGAAGGATTGAGGGACTGAGGACTCTGGCTTCCGACCAGGGCAGCAGAGCGGACAACTGTGAGGGGAAAGCACGGGAGAATGGAGAGACACACCTGCGGGCCCGAGCTCAGCACCAGCCCAGGGCAACTCCGGGAACCTGGCCAACGCTGGGCACTCGGGGACCCCACTCGGGAAGGCGCTTTCCCTTGTTCTAGATCTCTCCCCAAACCCCAAGTAGGTAAGTGTTCTGGCGTAGAGCCTGAGGCCCCCCCCCACTTCCCTCCACAGGGCCACCCTGACCCGGCCCAGCCCTGCAGGGAGCTGGTCACACGCCGGGCCACCCTGGGACGCTCCTGGGACATGTGGGGATGCATCGGTCACCTTGGGACCAGACCCCTCACTCAGGTGAGCGGGCGGCATGGGCTCCGGGGTTTTGGTGCCCCCTCCCCGAATTCCCCGGGAAGCAGAGCTGCACTATGGCGGGCGGGAAGGGCAGCCCAGGGCAGACCCGCCAACACCCATCCTTTCGGTGACAGATGGCTGGGTTCCATCGCACGGTTTTCCCTTTCCGCCTGCTTGTCGGGAGAGCAGCCCCACATCAAAAGGGAAAAAACAACTTTTAAAAATGTGGCTTTTCTTGTGCTGGCAGAAGTGGGCTGCTAATTCCTTCTTTCCTGGAGCGAAGGCGCGAAGCCCAGCGGGCATGTTCATCCTTCTGCCCCTCGAAGCCCGAGGCCCCCCGCCTCAGGCGCCTTCCAGCCCAGAGTGTTGTTCTTGTCTCTGTGCTGGGACTCGGGGGAGGGCAGGTCAGGCTGCCCTGGGAGGGAACCAGCAGAGGGTCTGGTGGCTTGACAACCCTCCTCGACACCACCTGGCAACCAGTTCAAAAGCACCGGGTGGCCTGTGGTTGAGCCCTCTCAGTCCCCTCCCTTAGATTTCTGTTTTCTTCCAGAAAAATAAAACAACAGCATTACCATTTTGCGGGGCGGAACTGGCCATTTCCACTCCAAAGTCCCACCTCACGGCCCGGCTCTGCTCTGGGCAGCTCCTCCCTGGCATCCTCAGCTTCCCTTGTGGGCCACACTGACCAGGTCCAAAGTTACAAAATGTTGGAGACAAAGGAGGTAAAAATGCAAGCTCGACTCTGATGCTCACGTGGGTTACTATTCTTCCCCCCAATTAAAAAATTTATTAGAAGAACACTATTTTAAAAAAAGGAAGTTTAAAATTTAGCCCACAACACCATAAATCAGCTTATCCCATAAATCTCATTTTTCCAAATTCCCCTCCAGTCTCTGTCCAGATGCTTACTTTTTATGTAACTGTAGGCACAGCAAGGGGACTGGGCTGGGCTCGGCTTTCCTCACTTGGCCGGAATCACGAGCACCCTTCCACGGAGCCACGTGACCTCCGTAATTGGTTTCAAAGCTGGGAGAGTGTCCCGTTGGGTAGTCCCCTAACTTACAGGCGATCGGACCTTCAGTAAAGAGACGAAGGCAGCAGCGCCAGAGCGGACTCACATTCCATTCACCTAAAGGGACCTCTGGGGACGCGCACGGCTGCGAGTCTCAACCCGATGTTCCAGGACAAAGGGACTGGAGGACGCGTGATGAGAAAGGGCCGGATCAGAATCGCACGGAAGGCCAGCCTCTGTGGCAGAGTGGCCACGGGGCGCTGACAGCCCCCCGTCCCACGGTTTATGGCCCTGCTCTGCGCGTGAAGCGTTAATCAAAGAGGGACCTCAACAAGTTTTTGGAAATTTATTCTTACCTACTGTACTTTGATCATAATGACATGAAACGGGAAAAAAAATAATTTTTATGTGGTTCACATTTATGAGTTTTTACATAAAGGCTTTTGTGGGTATTTTAAGAATGTGCTAAAATGTTGTCTGAAACCACATAAAGCCATCTGAGGAGTCGCCCGCCAGAACTAACAGCACACACATGGAAGCACTTTAGCTGGCCTTTGTATATTTAATGAGTCAAATAGTATTAATATTGTTTAAATGCTAACATGCTATTTCAATAAGGGGGCTCTGCCATCCCTGGCGACTCGCTCTCGGGCTGCACACAGCAGCATGAACGAGGCATCAAGAGTGGCCTGGCGCTGCAAGCAGGCGGCTGAGGGGTTCACCCGGCCGGCCTGGGCTCTGCCCCTCCTCCACAGGGGAGGGAGGGAGGACGGTCCCAGGACCACTGCCATGGCCCAGCCGCGCTGGGCACAAAAGGGGAGGCCCAGAGGTCTCTGGTCAAGGGGGCAGCTCGGGGAACATCTTTAAAACGTGGACGCCCAAAGACGAAACCCCTGGGCTTTTCTTAGCCCTGGTACCTTCAGGGAGTGAGGGCTGAAATCCACACACACGGTGAGGACGGTGAATGACCTGTTAGCCACAGGGACACAGGGACAGTCTGTGGGGACGCTGCAGAGAAGCCAGCTTGGAAAGTCGAACCAGGGAACAGTGGGGCCTTTCAGAGTTCCAGGAACATCAGTAGGGGAACCGATAGACCGACCCAGACCAACCCGGGAACAACGAGAGGAAAACGCTGCTCTGATGTCCACCCAAGAGTGAACTCTTTCAACCAAGCACCATCGGCTCCACAGCTGGTGGCTTTCAAGATCTTCCCAGCAGATTAATATATTTTTAAGGCAAATGGAACTGCAGAGAATTCAGACAGCTGGCATTAAGGAGATGGGGGTGCCTGGATTGGCTCCGTTAAGTCCCACCATCTGAAAAACAGCATGTTGACCACAACCCGGTTTCATCAACTTCAAAAGACCAGGTCACCAGGGCACTGTGCTGGATAAGCCAGGAGCCCCGGGCGAGCCCCTCAGGTGGGCTGGCTATTGCCCCGCACAGCCAATCACACTGAAGTGCCTGGGCGAGTTAGACCCTGAACCTGGATCAGCGAAAAGCCTGGGGTGTCAGTGACTCTCTTCTTCCCAGAGAGCTATGTCGTTTT